TCGGTCAGGGCCCGCTGTGCTCATTAAGTTGCCAAGAGAGGGGTTCTGCTGCAGGCAAAGCCCCGGACACTAGGTTTATATATTATGCGTGTTATCTGAGCACCTGTCGTTTCCCAACCATATGTGTCCTGCTAGTAAGGTGATTTCAGCCCACAGCACGAATTAATGTATCTCGCTCATGAAATGGCTCTTGTGAGTGGAATTATATTGCTGCTTTTGAAGATCTCTAGAATTGCTCACATTCTCTTTAGAAAGTAGTTGCTTAGTTCTTGCTGGTTTGCAAGATTTACCGGAGTGTGGTTTTGCTACGTCACCAGGTGAGGGAACTGAGCTATTGTCCTTTGGTTGATACAGGTGATAAAGGTGTTGTATCAGGGGGGCCAGGAGGCTATGGCCTCCCACCTTTTACCAGTTGTAAGGGCAAACGATGGGGGGGGAGGTGGAGAGGAGTGAGCAGGGGCAGGGTGTTGGGGGGAAGAGGTGTTGGGGGGTGGTGTGAGGGCAAGGGTTCAGGAAGAAGGGGCAGCAGGGGGTGGGGCCACAGTTTGAGCGCCTGTGGCCCACCCACTTTTAGGGACCTTCTGCCGCTCCTGTGTTGTATACATGCTAATTCTCTGGTCATTTACCTCTGTCAGCTGTAAAGTCCATGCTTGCTGGAGGTCATCTAAATGCAATCTCTTAGAACATACACCAGTCCTTGGTAATGTAATGATGCAAGTTCTGGCCCTTAGTTTCTGTGGTTTTCTTGCTCACGTGAATGTCATGCCTTTGTTGAATGCCATGTCTGAAGTGCTTCCAGTGCTGGAAGTTGTGGGTGGGAGAGGTGAGATAGGTACTGTTACACTATCACGACTGCATTTGACCATGCCATACATCTCACTTACGATTCTGGTGTATTGTTTAAGGACAATAGGCTGACGGTGCCCTGAGCGTAGAGCTGTGCTGTCGACTCCCATGAGTCTCAAGCAGATCAGAAAGTGAACAGCCTGGTCCTCGGTGCCTTACCTCTGACTCTTTTTTTCTGTCATAACTGCATCAGTGTGCGTGGTGAGCTCCTGTTCACTTGTGGGATGCTCTGTAGAGAGGTACAAGTGTTTGTGTAGAGTGGCTGGCATTGTCTCTGTGGCACATAGCTGTCTGAAGCTTACTCCTTGCATGAGCCCTAGCAACTTTGGGATCACAAATGTGGGCATGGCTTGTGGTCTGCATGACAGTATCGGCAGAAGCAGCTGCTGTTACATAAGTTATTTAGTCAATGTGCTATCGTTATTGCTAGGGTGTGGGTCCTAGTGATTGACTGCTCTTAGGATATGACTCAGGGGTGCAGGCACACATCCATTAGTTACATATCAAGCAACGACTGTGATAGCAGTCTGGTGAAGTTGCTGTAGAGAGGCGTATGTGTGAAGCATACACTGTCTGAATAGTGTGTCCTGTTGTGCTGGTTTTTACATGTGTTTCAACTTGGTAACTGTTTTCTTGTGCTTACTGTTTCTGAAGGCCATGAGTTTGCAACTGAGTGTGGAACAATGATGCTTTCTTTTGTGACGGAGCCTCTCCTGGAGCGATTTGCTGTGCTGAGTCCTAAATTTGTCCGTTAAGCAGCACTTGCATACTGCCGATTAGCACTGCTTGCCCTGGGCATGGGATGGCTATTTCTGGTTGGCTCCTTTGCCTCAAAGAGCAGGTGCTAGGAGCACAGTCACCTACTGCTTGGCTGTTCTGTAGCTATCTGTGAGCCCTGCTGCTGACCATTGGTCTGCTGTTGGTTTTTCCAGCCTGCAGTCACTATGCTCTCGTGGGGTATGTTACACAGGGATAAAAGGCCTGTGGCATGGCTGCGTCTGGCCCGGGTCAGCTGTCTTGGGTTTGTGGGACTAGGGCTGCGGGGCTAAAAGTTGTAGTGTAGACGTTCGGGCTTGGGCTGGAGCCTGAGCTCTGAGACCCTCCACCCCTGCAGGGATCCTGAGCTCAGGTCCCAGCTGGAGCCCGAATGTCTGCACAGCAGATTTTCAGCCCCGGAACCTGAGCCTCACAAACCTGAGTCACCTGACCTGGGCCAGAGGTGGGTTTTTTATCCCTGTGTAGACATACCCTTGGTAGTAATTGTGGCTGGCCACCAAGTACAACTGTTGTCATGCTTTTCTTGCAGCAAGTATTTTCTGGCTTTAAGACTACATGGTTTTCTACTATTTCTCTGCCTGGCCCATTGTCATGAGAGGCAACCTGCACCTCCTTGCGCTCTCTCTGCCAAACTGGCTTTGCCCTTGACAGACCTGCTATTTCAGTGGATGAATTTGCCCTGCCTTCATGGACAACCGAGTTTCTCTGGGCCTGTGTAGCCTTTTGAGTATTCTCACACAACCCACTTCCACACAAGAGCCTGCTGCTGCATAGACCTGGCTTCTTCAGCTCTCAAAATTGAGTATTACACCTGGGGCTGCCAGGTGTCTGGTTTTTGACTGGTACGCCCGATCGAAAAGGGACTCTCTGCTGACCGGGCCATTAAAAGTCTGGTCGGCAGCGCAGCGGGGCTAAGGTAGGCTCCCTGCCTGTCCTGGCTCCGCGCAGCTCCCAGAAGCGACCGGCATGTCCCTGCGGCCCCTAGGCACAGGTGCGATTAGGGAAGCTCTGCGTGCTGCCCCCGCCCCAAGTGCCACCTCCACATCTCCCATTGGTCGGGAACCGTGGCCAATGGGAGATGCGAGGGTGGTGCCTCCAGGCACAGGCAGTGCACACCATGCAGAGCCGCCTGGCTGTGCCTCTACCTAAGGGCCGGACATGGTGGCCGCTTCCAGGAGCTGCACGGAGCCAGGGCAGGCAAGAAGCCTACCTTAGCCCCGCTGCGCCGCCGACTGGGAGCCGCCTGAGATAAGCACTGCCCGGTCAGAGCCTGAACCCCAATTCCCTCCCCCAGCCCACACACTGAACCCCTCATTTTTGGTCCCTCCCCGGAGCCTGCACCCCCAGCTGGAACCCTCACCCTCTCCTGCATCCCAACCCCCTGCCCCAGCCCAGTGAAAGTGAGTGAGGGTGGGGGAGAGCAAGCGATGGAGGGAGGGGGGCTGGAGTGAGTGGGTGACAGGGCCTTGGAGAAGGGGCGGGGCCTTGGGAAAGGAATGGGGCAGGTTGCGGGGCAAGGGTGTTCGATTTTGTGCAATTAGAAAGTTGGCAACTCTAATTACACCGGGGGTCTCTAGCCGCTTTGTACCTCTTGGAACCAGTAGGGAATATGGTGTAATGGCTTGACCTGGCTGATGCACCCAGTAACCTTCCTTGACAGGCCTCTGTTTTCTCTTTTGCAGCCCTGCTGCATGCATGGGGTTTGTTTTGGTAGGGTTACCATACATCCGGATTTTCCCGGACATGTCTGGCTTTTTGGGCCTCAAATCCCCGTCTGGGGGGAAATCCCAAAAGGCCGAACATGTCTGGGAAAATAGGGCCAGGCTGGGCCCGGCTGTGCGGGGCCGGAGGCACTGGGCCGGGGCTGGCAGTGCTTGGCCGGGGACCGGGGTCGGGGCCAGGCCGGCGGTGCTGGGCCGGGCCGGGGGTGCTCGGCTGGGGGCTGGCCTGGGGCCGGCACCCCAGGGCCCAAGCCGAGCCAGGCTGGAGATGCCGGGGCCGGAGGGAGCCGCTCGGTTGAGGGGGCCAGACTGGGCCGCACCTCCTCTCCCCTCCTCCCCCAGCTTACCTGCTGCCTGCTTCAGGCTTCCCGCGAATCAAATGTTCCTGGGAAGCAGGGGAGGGGGCGGAGTTGGGGCGGGGACTTTGGGGAAGGGGTGGAGTTGGGGCGGGGCCGGGGCCCCGTGGAATGTCCTCTTTTTGGACACTCAAAATATGGTAACCCTAGTTTTGGACTAGTTGGTCTATCGTGGGAGGTAGAGTAAGGTTGGCTCAAGTGAAATGTTGTGTCTCTCCCTTCCACTTTTAGATATGCAACCTTTTGGTCTGTCTATCCCTGTTTGCGATTGGCTGGGGCAGTAATCACACGGCACAGTGTTAAAAAATGAAAGAAAAAAATCGAAGTCTCTCTTTTTGGATTCTCAAAATGCTTGTCCTATGGTTGGGACAGTGTGCCTCTCACTCCTCATACAGTGAGTTTCCTCACTTGCAGCCTCCAAAATTCTCTTCTTCCATCATGCCACATGCAAATACTCTGAAGGGTAAAGATCACGACTCTTTGCCAGCCTGCAAAGCACATTGTTCACTGTTGGTGCTATGCAAATAAATAAGAAGCTGTGTTTCCTTATATATTAGTTTTTTGTATTATTTTATTTGGTACTGTGCCTATTCATGATTGCAAGCTCCTCAGCAGAGCTGGTTGGAAAATGCTAGGAAAACATAGACAAAAATTTTCATGAAATTTCATCTCCATTTTTTGTAGAAATTTCATTGTTCGGGAAATTTTCCAGCCAGCTCTTTGGGGGCAGGGACTTATTCTTTGGTGAATTTCACATATCTTAAGTCTGGCCTAGTGGATAGAACACTGGATTGGGGCTCAGGAGACCTGGTTATATTCCTGATTTTGGCTTACTCAGAGACTTTGGGGTAATCCCTTCACCTCTGTTTCTCAAATTCCCAATCTGTAAAGTGGTGATAATGGTACTTACCTCATTGGTAAAATGCTATATGAGAGCTAGATAGTAATAGTAGTAAGGTGTGTTTGCACGCAACATTACCCTGGGTGCCATTAAAAACTTTACACTTAGAGTTGTTTAGTATGAGATATGCAGTTTTCTCTATTCTGAGTAGAGGGAATACTGTCTGTACAACAGCACAGGTAAATGTCTCTGTGCATTAATTGTCTAGATTTTAATGGTGACCATTGGATATATAAATAATTGCCATGGGGTTATGGTTCCAGATTGTTATAGTCTTTGGTTTAATGGGAGACTGGAGAAGATCTCGTTAAATTCATATTATTGCACCTACTCTCTTTGCTTTGGGTTGGGGGACTATGTTATAGCGAGTAACAAAGTTGCATTTATTTTTCTTTTCAGATAAAACGAGACAAACCAGAAAATATACCAGATCTAAAAGATTTAGTAAAAAAAAAATTCACTGCATTGGAAAGCAAAAACGATGACTCAGATTTGAAAAGAAATGAAAAATACATACATTTTATGGAACAGCTTAAAAGAATGAGAAAACAGTGTAAGTCTTCATTTTTTAAAATAATGGTTTCCTGGCAATACAATATGGTTCTATATATGTATATCATATGTTGGTTTATTACTAAAATGTTTTAAAATACAAACCAGCCAAAGAGCACTTAAACAGGGGGGAGGGATAGCTTAGTGGTTTGAGCATTGGCCTGCTAAACCCAGGGTTGTGAGTTCAATCTTTGAGGGGGCCACTTAGGGATCTGGGGCAAAAATCAGTACTTGGTCCTGCTAGTGAAGACAGGGGGCTGGACTTGATGACCTTTCGAGGTCCCCCAGTTCTATGAGATAGGTATAGCTCCATATATTATTTATGTGCATTCCTCATACAGGACTTATTTAAATTTATCATTCACATAGTTAAGTAAATAGCACAGTAAGTAACAATCTTATGATTTTATTTAATCTGTCATAGTGCTTGTCTTATTTGCATACATATGCAATATAAAGCTTCTTTCATATCCCTTTTTTCGGTTTGAAGATTTTTTTTCTTTTAGAGATACTCTTTTCTCTTAATTGGTAGGATCTCCCAAAAGGAGATCCTAGGTAAGCTGTTTTCATTTGTCGTTTTAACAAATTGCCCCTATTTCACAACTTAGGATATGTTGCAACCCTAAAAAGACCTTTGCTTTAATCGTAGAACTATATTGCTGGAAAATGCTTACTGTGTGTGTTCTCAGGTTTACTGCTTCTACACACGCACCGTGTAACTGTGTAGCTTATTAAAATCTGTCTGGCTTAATTCATGTTGATTCACCAAGTGGTAAAATTGTAAGTTATTGTGCTCAAGCTGTCAGAGAAGTTAGGAAGTTAGCAGTTCTATGTTTATACAAGACAACAAAATTGTGTGTTTGTTTTTTTTATTGCACAGTGACTGTAATAGCTATTAAAAAATCATTCTGAGCAGCTATGCTGGGAAAATTCATGGGTCCTAAAATCATATGTATTGTTCTCACCCTGTCCAATCATGATTACACTTTAGAATCACATTGTTCCGCTTTCCATCCCTTGACCCCTGTCCCTGTGTCATTCTCCCACAACACACACACATTTGGATTTCAACATAAACTGATAGCTCATGTATTGCGGGAATCATAGATTAATGATTTACACAATTGGAAGCTGAAATGCTGGGTGCTTTCATAAAGCAGTGTTTTTTTACTTGCAATCTTGGTCGCTGATCCAAAGCCCGCTGAAATCAGTGGAAAGACACTCCTATTGACTTCTATGGGCTTTGGGTCAGTCCTCTAGAAAGACTCCTGGAGTGAGAGGATAATGATACTGATTTTTAGGTCTGATGCCTCAAGACTTGTCAGTAGAGATGAATGCTGTGCATCATTTGAAAATTGAGAACCCAAGTTCTCCAGTGGTGTGTGGCATTTGTTTCCCATCCTTTATGGTTTACAAGATACTGAGCTTCAGAATGATCATTGGTCTATCAGCCTAACTGTGTTCTTGGGACTGAATATAGCAAGATGAAGACCACAACCAGTGTAACCTTCAGTTCCTGCATAGTCATAAAATTATTGCTGCCAATCATTATGTTGTAATTCCAGATTTCTAGGTGTTCGTTTCTGAATTACAAAGAGCTTGATAACAGAAACTGGATTTGTTTCCCACCCTGTACTTGGCTGTAGATTGCCTGCCCTAAATATATTTTATCTATGGCCAAGTGACCAAGTATTAACCAGTAGAATGATTAAACATCACCCAAATTAATCAAGCATAATAGGAATGACTGGGTTTTTTTATAGGAGGGGAGTATTTTATTGTTGCTGATGGCTGAAACCCAGCTGATATTTCTCTTAATAGCCATTAGGATTTTTGTTTTGGTTGTTCCCTGAAGACAAATTGAGAGGGTGCCAGCAGAATGCGGATGGTGATGTTGGATGGACCAGTATGCTCTGTACATGGACTATTGATCAGTTGTGCTAGTTTGGGAGCAGTCACACACATGTTTTTGATCCGGTGTTCCATCACGTTTGAGCCTATCACAATGCTTAGAATAATCCGAAAGGTTGAACGGAAAAACATTAGATGAACTTTACAAGCAAACTTGAGTACACTCTAATAATCCTACATTAAAATAAACACACTGGAACCTCTCTCTTGCTTGCGCTCTCTCTCTCTCTCTGTTATCAAAAGGAAAACGAAATGCCTCTTTATGGCTGAGAATATAAGTGTATCAGAGATGGGAAATGCAAGTTATACTCCACAAAGCAACCACAACTCTGCTGCCTTGTGCACTTGTCCATACCATGCATATATCCATGCCATCTCTTGTTCATGAACACCCTCCCTGAAATGAACTGTAAAGCCAATATTCCTTCTTGCTTCAGTGTCTCCTTTAGAACCACTTTTACCATGAAGCCTACAGGACGTTGCCAAATCATAATGGTTAGGTAGAGAGCTACCAGGGATTGTTCATATTCAATTGATATATAGAATGTATATAATTTAATTTAATAATGAGTTGGAACCATCAAACTGTGCACTAGCTAATTGTGTAGCCATGCAATCTTATTCCTGATACCCTTGTCCTTCACACTCCTTCTCTTCTATTGTTTGTTAGCCTCACATGTCACTTATCTTAACCCTCCCCCCCAAAAAAAACCCTTGAATCTGCAAGCACATGAGTTGAACTCATTGAGACTACTCATGTGCTTAAAGTTACGCACATGTCTAGGTTTTTGTAGGGTCAGAGGCTAAAAGTGTAAGCTCTTTGAGGCAGAGACTGTGTTTGTGTTTGTACAGTACCTAGCACAATCAGGTCTTGATCCTGATAGGACCTCTGGGCACGACTGGATTATAATCAGTAAATGTTAATAGTATGCTAAGACATAAGATTGAAGACTTATAGAATAGTATCAGAATCTACCTAAGTGCAGGTACCTGGGCACTGGTACCTAAGCCAGTGTGTCTAGAGAAGGAATGAGCAGAGGGATGGGAGTCAAGAAATTCTCTAAAAACAACGAGGAGTCCTTGTGGCACCTTAGAGACTAACAAATGTATTTGGGCATAAGCTTTCGTGGGCTAAAACCCACTTCATGAGATGCATGGAGTGGAAAATACAGTAGAGAGGTATAAATACACAGCATATAAAAAGATGGGAGTTGCCTTACCAAGTGGGGGGGTCAGTGCTAATGAGTCAATTCAATTAAGGTGGAAGTGGGTTATATAATCCCAGCTCTGCTGCCGATTTGGGACCTAATTCAAAAATCACTGAAGTAAGTGGCAACACTCCCATTGATTTCACTAGGACGTTAGATCAGGCCCATTGAGCACCCTGGACATATTAAGTATTGTTGTTAGAATTCTTTGAGGGGGTCAACAAGCATGTGGACAAGGGGGATCCAGTGCATATAGTGTACTTAGATTTTCAGAAACTCTTTGACAAGGTTCTTCACCAAAGGCTCTTAAGCAAAGTAAGCTTCATGGGATAAGAGGGAAGGTCCTTTCATAGATTGGTAACTGGTTAAAAGATAGGAAATGGTAAGAATAAATAGTCAGTTTTCAGAATGGAGCGAGGCAAATAGTGGTGTCCCCCCCTCAAGGGTCTGTACGGGGACCAGTCTTATTCAACATATTCATAAATGATCTGGAAAAAGGAGGTGGCAAAATTTGCAGATGATACAAAACTACTCAAGCTCAGACTGCGAAGAGCTACAAAAGGATCCCTCAAAACTGGATGACTAGGCAACCAAATGGCAGATGAAATTCAATGTTGATAAATGTAAAGTAATGCACATTGGAAAACATAATGCCAACTATACATATTGTGACAGACCCAGACCAGTGGGGTACAGGAGTCTGGTAGAGGGCAAATATACTGGTCACTGGATGAGTAGTTTTCTGTTCCCTGAATGACCAGAGAAGGGGCTGCACTAGAGTAATCAGGAACCTGCTAGAATCAGTTAAGGCAGGCGGGCTAATTAGGACACCTGGAGCCAATTAAGAAGAAGCTTCTAGAATCAATTAAGGCAGGCTAATCAGGGCACCTGGGTTTTAAAAGGAGCTCACTTTAGTCTGTGGTGCAAGAGTGAGGAACTGGGAACAAGAGGCGCAAGGAGCTGAGGGAGAGGGTGTGCTGCTGGAGGACTGAGGAGCACAAGCGTTATCAGACACCAGGAGGAAGGTCCTGTGGTGAGAATAAGGAAGGTGTTTGGAGGAGGCCATGGGGAAGTAGCCCAGGGAGTTGCAGCTGTTACAGGAGGCACTATAGACAGCTGCAGTCCACAGGGCCCTGGGCTGGAACCTGGAGTAGAGGGTGGGCCCGGGTTCCCCCAAACCTCCCAATTGACCTGGACTGTGGGTTCTTCCAGAGGGGAAAGTCTCTGGGCTGTTCCCTAACCCATGTGGTGAATCTCTGAGGCAAGAAAATCCGCCAATAAGCGCAGGACACACCAAGATAGAAGAGGAACTTTGTTACAATATAAAATGATTGGGTCTAAATTAGCTGTTATCACTTAAGAAAGATCTTTGAGTCATTGTGGATAGTTCTCTGAAAACATCCACTCAATGTGCAGCGGCAGTCAAAAAATTTGGCTTCATTAAGAAAGGGATAGATAGTAAGACAGAAAATATCATATTGCCTGCTAGTGTCATGAGCGGGATGCTGATGACCCGCCCTGGGAGAGAGTTACCAGTGACCCAGGGCTGGGGCAGCAGGAGGGTGCAGGTGCGGGGGAGAGCCCAGGGCGTGGGGTGGCAGGGGGTTGCGGTATGGGGTGGGTGAGAGCCCAGGGCTGGGGTGGCAGGGGGTGCGGATGGGGTGGGTGAGAGCCCAGGGCTGGGGCGGCAGAGGGATGCGGGGGG